TGATCAGTCTGCTGCAGGCAGGAGTAAGCATTTCCTCAGTCTCCCCTCCCCCAGTGATCAGTCTGCTGCAGGCAGGAAGAAGCATCTCCTCAGTCTCCCCTCCCCCAGTGATCAGTCTGCTTAAGGCAGGAAGAAGCATTTACTCAGTCTCCCCTCCCCCAGTGATCAGTCTGCTGCAGGCAGGAGGAAGCATTTCCTCAGTCACCCATCCCCCAGTGATCAGACTGCAACTTTGTAGCCAGTCAACTTTTAGTGCAAGCGCCTTCACAATCCCAGATATTCCCTTACAAAAGTAGCAGTGACATCATCAAGGAGGGGGCGGAGACAAGACCAGTCACCCTGCACAAGGAGAGAGGGCAGCAGGGACCGGTCTTTATTACAGGAGGGGGCGGAGACAAGACCAGTCACCCTGCACAAGGAGAGAGGGCAGCAGGGACCGGTCTTCATTACAGGAGGGGGCGGAGACAAGACCTCAGGGTGGGTTTCCCTGATGGTGACAACAGTGGACCATGTCTAGGTAATGTGTGTTGAAACCACCAATTGCAGTCCCCACCACAAGCTCATGTGACAGGGTGACATCACGAACCATAATCAGAGATAGAGCGTTGTCACCCTATAACAGGAAGTGCCTGAACAAGGACCATCATGGTGGGATCACCAGGGATTTTTTCCCCCCAGATTTTAATCAATTCAAATAATTTTGTTACATTAACATGTCAAAGACTTCCAGATATGCTAATGATCTTACAAAACTAAAGGGGGTGATTTACATAGCTCCGCCCACTGAAATGAGGGACCTTCTATTTTTGTCATTTGTGATGAATTAATGGAAAGTCATGTGACCACCTTCTAAGAAGACTCGACTGTACTATGCACGGATTGCATTGGAGGGATTTTCGATTCCTTTAGCCCACAACTCCGGCCCTCCAGCTGTGCTTTAACTACAAATCCCATCATGCATCTGCCTCTGGCTGTGAAGAGTCCTGCAATGCATCATGGGACCTGTAGTTCCACAACAGCCGGAGGGCCGGAGTTGCTGCTTTAGTCCCTTCTCGCCCGGATGGTAACATTGTAACAAATCTGAGATCGGAATTACATTTCCTAAAACTTTATTGTTCTAACAAATAACAAAAAAAGGATCTCCCAAAAAAGTCACAATCCCCTCCCCCACCCCGCGAGCTGCACACGGCTTGCCGAGACCCCCCCAGAATAAACTTGGCCGTCAACGCCGACCCCTCTGGGATATATTTTTTTATATCCCGCCGCCAGCCTGCCAATGGACGCCGCAGAAAAAAGGTCACACACCGCATGGATCCAAGAAGAGCTGCCCCTCCCCCTCCAAGATTTGTGCATGGAGGATGATTAGGATTCTTTTTTTTTTTTCCACCTGGGGATGTCAAAGGTCGCTGCGGCGGAGGTGACAGTCATTGCGGTATCTGGCAGCGCGCTCAGCACACACAGCAATCCGTTTAATAAGTAATATGGGATACCAAAGTCTGAGAACATCCCGGCGGCTGATTGGCTGGAGGACGGGAATAAAATCTACAGCCGAGGAATCTCGCGATTAGTCTGCATACAGAGCAGCTTCTATAGGGGCCCCTTTCAGGGTTTGGGGCCCTAAACCTGCGCTAATGCACGTGCGTTCACCCTAGGCTCAGTATACTGCTGTAGCTCGCGGTATAATGAGACGCCGCAGTATACCGCAAGCTGCTGCTCGCGGTATACTGAGACTCCGCAGCTGAAGCGGATCCCGACAATTATGTCGGGATCCGCCAAGCTGCGTGACTGACCCGCCCCCTCCCCCGTCCGTTCCGTTGCCAGTCATACAGATACACCCCGGGTTATGACTGCGGTGCCAAGAGGTCCCATCACCCAAACACAGCTCCCGCCTTGCCCACCTTTAAGGGTTTAGGCCAAGTTCACACCGGGGCGGTTCGGCCGGCTCAATGCAATTCG